TGCTGAAAAGCAAATTCTTACTGCTAATCCTGATATAAACACAGTGCGTAAAAGCATTTTAAATGCTTTTTTTTTTTATCTAATATTTTCCTTATTTACATTTTTTCTGGAATTTTATAAGTTGCTTGTTGATGCCCTTTGATTAGGTTGAGCTTTGTGAGGATGATGATTTTCTTGTTATTGCTTGTGATGGAATATGGTAAGTTTTTCAATCTTGCTTTTGGTCATTATATATTTACTCTAGAATGACATTACAGTTTTAACTAAATATGACTGGCTTACATTATATGTCATGTGACTATGTGTTTTTTAATTTTCACCGTGTTTAGTTCAAAAATTGAAACCTTTTTCTGTTTTGGTCCTGGAACATTGAAATAAGGACAAAATTTGAAAACCCATTTTAACTTTGGACTAAACACAGTAAAAATCAGAAAGCACGAGGACCATTTTTGTAATTTACTCTAGAATGCTGAAATTTTGTTTTTTTTTTCTCTGTTTACAGGGATTGCATGTCAAGCCAACAACTAGTGGATTTTGTACGTGAGCAAATAAAAACTGTACGTCCATTTCTACTTCGCACTTGACAGTTTATTATTGATCCTACAATCTTGTGGGGCCCCTCCGTTACACAGGACAAAACAGAACAGGACATGACAGTCTTGTATTGTGTTTGGCATGTATTAGACTGATGTCACCCAAACAGGATTTGATTCGCTCTTGATATGTTTGTGCAAAAGACGTAAATGCCCTCGTCATCCTCTTGATCAAAATTTTCCTTAAAAAGCTTGACGAGTCCCGTCCCTTGCAAAAGATGTAAATAGTTAAATACCATTTTCATTATGATTATCGAAGATAGCATTAGACTCTCGTGAAAAAGATGGAAACGCCCTCATGAATCTTGATAATGGTAAACCTAACAAGACTAAATTGATACACAGGAAAGTAAGCTGTCGGTGGTGTGTGAGAAGGTATTCGACAGGTGTCTGGCACCTACCTCTGGTGGTGAAGGATGTGACAACATGACAATGGTTTTGGTGCAGTTTAAAACTTGCCCAAAGCCTGGCCCGGGTCCATCTACTTCTCAAAAGAAGTCCCCTGATCAAGACTCTGTCTCATCTGACTGCAAAGACAAACCTGGTTCAAACTAGCGGTGATACTTTTTTTTTTTTTTTTTTTTAATTCATCACCACCGTTTTATAGAAATACATAATATTCTTTTATATCCATAGGAAACATCGCTCAATTCATGTACAAATTGTTTTCTTCTTATTGAATTGGCCCATGGTATTTGAGACACCATTTGTTGATTTGAATTTTGCTCATGATAATCACAGATAATGTGACAGCCTCGAATTCAAATTCTACGCTTGTATTTCACAAAATGGTTGTTGCTAGATGTGTTTGCTAGCATATATATTTCATTATTTTGCATCTAGTTGAGTACTAATTGACCCAAGAGAACCATGTTTGCTACCAGCCATGTTGACAATAATAATAAAAAAACAAATAAAAACCCCAAGCCAGAGTAGATAGCAAATACGAGATGGATGCAAAATGCAATCAACAATCAAATACAAGACTAGAGAACAGTTGGCAAATGGGTACAAGTGAAACTGTTGGCTCAACATGAAACCTTCTTCAATCAACAAATCGAAAAACTGTGAATTGATGTGTGCACTGGTACCATGAAGATTGGGTGCCAAAACATGACCAGGGCTTTACTATCATAGAAAGGCTTACTTACAACTTACAACGAAAGAAAAAAAGAAACTAATACATAAGAAACAACTAGGGTAAAACATATCTAAGAAAATGACTCATAAACTTGAGATCAATGACGGCTACCCATTTTTATTTTTCAAAGAAATTTTCACTACATCCATGGTGACCCCTACCAGTTATATGAGTTTTCAAATACCTACTTATATACCTACTTGACATCATACAAAAACCGACCCTGCAAATCCCATCAGAATGGAGTAGGGGTGATGGAGAAATCAACAGTCAGGTATCGCTAGACTGAAGATCGACCGAGTCACTAAGATGACCTTTGACATGTGCAAAACGTAAACATACAAAAGGGCAACGGGGGAGTAAGTGGTATACAGCAGGGCAACAATTCCTGAATAATCAGTCAGATAACATAAGTGCATGAAATCGTCATCAACAGATAAAGATCAAACCGCCCTATAGAGTTCATGTCCTTAATAACAGCAAGTTCCTCTATATCAAGCCTCATGCTATCCCCTAATTTCCTCTTCAGAGGTCCGCTTTTCCTCTTCCCATCAATCCTAATTGACTCTACCCTTTTTATTGTCACTGATGGTAACCTCCTTATGACATGTCCAAACCATCTTGAACGTCCTTTCCTCAATTAACGAGTTCCTTATAACTACATTCGATATCCTATCCAACAAACTTCTACCACAAGTCCACCTTACTATCTTCTTACTTGACATCATGTGTACTTGTAAAATAATATCTAACTTTCTGAAAATGATTCTTATCTACCTATATGGTATGTGTACAACCACTTAAACTAGCAAATGAGAATTCAATTTAGGAAGTGATGTTCTTTCATTAAGTACATATGATGTCATATAGATAAACAATAAGCCATACTAGTTTTAACATCTGCTAAACCGGAAATAGGTGGGCATAGTGGTCGTAGATGAAATTTTATTTTGATTGTGTGGCTTTCATCAACCGAAATAAAATATAGTGGCTAAGTCGCAAAATGGTCATGGTATAGTGGCTTTTATGTACATTGCCCTAAACTTAAATAGGCTAAATAAATGCTAAACTTAAAACTATGCAAAATATATATAGTTTTAACGGATGGAAGAAGTTAAAAGTTTCTCTTTGTTTGTGGCTTCGTGGTGTTATATGTTATGTGGGGTTGTGCATGATTCGGTCCAAACTCAATAAATTGGTTTAAAAAAGGCCATGCTTAACAAAATTTGAGCCTTTCATATGTTTGTTGATATGTTGTTTTGCAATAAATTAAATAAATAAAAGAACCAATGTTGGGTTTGAAGGATGTGTTGGTTATTGTGTGTAAGTTGTGTCTGTTAATGCTGATGCATAAGAAATGGTAGATTTTGGTGTGAATGCTTTTGTTGATTTGATTAAAAAATGATCCTGCAATGTAATGTGGCCATGACTTCCTATCACGTGGGGAAGCCGCATCGCCCCCGTATGTTGACCTTTGTTGACCAGCTCTTTATGTTTGCTAAACATATTCCTCTTTTTATTTTCGTCGAACCAACACTGAAAATATAGAAGTTGATACAGTTTTCTTCGGTTATTGCTTCTTTCCAAAGAGATAAGTCATATATTAAGATACAATTTCATCATTTACCTTTATTTGATCCTAATTTGTGTTTAGGGCTTGATGAATTTGAGAATTTGTTATAAATGTAAAGCACGTATAATACCATTATTTGGTAATGTGTTTAACAACTAATATGTAAAATTTCATAAAATCTTAACCTAGTTGTTATTAACTTATTATATATTTATAATTTTAAGTTACGGTTTGAAGTTAAAGTCTATATCTTCAAATATGTATTGTATTTGTGTATGGAGTTGTTTATAGAAATTATGAAAATTTATGCCTAAATTGGAATTATAAATTGGGTGATATAACTCACAGTTAGTGACTATCGTATTATACTCTAGTAAAGTGATGTTAACATGAACATGAAATAAAATCACATATCGGAAGTATGTTGCTATATGTGAAAGTATAGTATTATAACTAGTAAAATGGTATCATATTTTATTTAAGTATTTGATAATCAAAATGGTTGATTCATGTTTTGAACTATATGGCAACACTTAAACATGTAAAATCGTAACCAAAGGGACCATTATGACGTATGGTTTCCACCTGAAACAAAAGAGGAACGTTTTTAATAAAATTATCATTTTTTTCGTAATATATGAGAGTCTTTTTAAATAAATAAAAATAAATAATCAGAACCATAAGAAATCTCATTTCGTATCATAAATTTGTCTCGCATTGTGCCCTTTACAAGATATATTATGATTATACTATGCAAAGAATAAACAAGATAACTTTTAAACCTCCAACCATCCAATGCTTTTATGATGTTTTCTGATAATAATGTTCATGGATCAATAAATTGAGAGATCTCATAAATTAATGGGTTTATTACCGTTTCACAAAGGAAATCAAGGGGTATTTTGGTCGTTTACATGGCTTTGATTATCTTATGATCTATTTGACAACAAAATTCGATAAAATTGTTTATCCAAAATGAAAAGAATATGATGTTCAAACTTTAGCATGTCCAATGTTTGGTTAATATATGAACAATAGTTTATCATCCTAGTGATGTACCTTAAATGGGTTTGACATGGTCATCCAGTAGAAGTGCACATAAAAACTATCTGGTATGGATCCAATCCGATCAAAAGTTCAAAAATGGATTTCGACCAAATCGGATTAGATAATCTTATCCACGAGATCCTCACTGGATCATGAATCCTGACCCAAAAATTGGATTGACACCCGAATCGTAAACCGGTTTATCGAGAATCCGTATCCAAAATCATACCCAAAACTGAATTCAAACCGGATCGGATTCTATGTGACATCATTTCAACCGGATGGATTCAAATCTAGATTGGATTTGTCAAAAACGCACCTCTAGCATCTTGACATACGACTTACCATTTTTACCCGAAAGAAACAATAGCAAGCTACATGAAAAAGCATATACGATTACTTGTTAATTATTACACCTTATCTTTTAACAAAATATATGGCAATACAAATATACATCAGTACGCTACTTCAAACCACCAATCACGAATAGACACGTCATCCTTAAGCATCTCTGATCTGACCACGACGGATAATGACCTCCCAAGTCCCAAGCAGCCTATCTCTCTCTATTATATTATACTTGAATATATAAATGCCTCTATTATGTCTCTGTATACATTGAAACGATGCTTTGTCTTCTCCATTGATGACCATTTCTTCACTCAACAATCGACTTCCTTCACACAAGATTACAAAATTCATATGGCGACTTTCAACACGTGTCAAGTTTGATCGCTATTTCATAGTTTCCCATACACATTTAACATACGCGCGTACCGACTATTAATTATATATATAGATCGATCTATTTCACAAAGGACTAATTTGATTTCCTTTGAAGTTAGCTTAGCTTTACAACAGATATAATACAGTGCTAATGGCGTCTGTGGCTGGAGTTATCAACGGTTGCGTTTCATCTTCCACTTCATCTTCATCGTCGTGGGGGAAACTGAAGAAATCTCACGAGAAGATGACGACGACGACGAGTGCTGGTAAGAGGTTTCGAGTTAGCTGTGCTTTTACGAGTTCTCTAGCTTCAGATCCATATAAAATATTGAGGATTCATCCTGGTGCTTCTGAATCTGAGATAAAAAAAGCTTTCAGACAGCTTGCTTTGAAGGTATTAATTAATTTCTTCAACTAGTGATTGCAGAACCTTCCGATTGATAGATCTTCCTCTTCCTAATTTTTTGAAGGCAGTAGTTTATTGACCGAATAGATGCTAATTTTAGTTTATCAATTGCACTGATCGCACAAAAATACTATCACAACTCAAGGATTTAAAATTGGAGTTGCCATTTTTGTCGGTGCAGATTTTAGTATGATTTTCGCTCAATTAAATTATGAATCTGATCAAATTTCTATTCTCTTTGATCGAAACTCTTATTGTTCTAGTATCATCCGGACGTTTGCAAAGGAAGCGATTGTGGAATCCAATTTCAAGAAATTAACGAAGCATATGATGTAAGTTTACTCTTGATTCCACACTTTATTAAACATTAAAAATATGAACTGTTGTTTTAAAACTCTGCAATTTAATTTAATAACCAATATAATTCGAAACTATAAATATAAAAAATTAAATCAGAAATTGCAAAATGTTATGCACCCAATTTCGCAATCTAGTTTTATTTTATTTAAGTTTCTGTTAAATAAAAATGGTAATAAATTATCGCAGAAATACCAGTAATCGAATATGGATATCAGAAGGCATATTCTTATCATTATCTCATATGCTAAAATTATTGCACATTTCAGTTATCAACTTATCATTTTGAAGTTTGTCTTGAATAAATTTATATTTAATTAGTCTGTTATTAATGTGTGCAATATACTATTAATTTATATTTTATAAATAATAATATAGTTATAATTTATTATTATATAAATGATTGTATTGCCTTAGAAATTTTAATTATGTATATTTTTCAGGAACGTATTTTCAAATAAAAATTTAAGAGATCGTTCTTTTATTTGGTATCTACATTTCAAGATACATTACAAGCTTATATATTTATAATCAAATCACATAAGCAACATATAAAGTATATATTATTTATTTTATAATGATCATGTCTTTTAGTCCATTTAAACATATATTTTAATTTTAAGTTTATAATAAAAAAAGGACTTATTATTCGAATTTTTATTTATTGATTATCAGGTCCTTTATTTAATGTCAGTAGTTTGAAATGTGTTATGAATTCGTAATCAAATAATTAAGTTGTTATTTAATTTTTTATTTCGTTACCAGTTTTTTGTTTGACATGATCAATAATTTACTTTGTTCAAGTATTTGATTAAAAATGTTAAAACAACACTAATGTTTTTTTTTTTTTTGTCTATTTCACCTTTTATAAATAATAAAAATGGCAGATGTGACATTAACAAATTATTTTGTCCAGGATTTTTTTTAACAATCAATACAATAGACAATAGTACTTTCTTTTTTCACCTTTTAGTGATTGTTAATTGATATGATTGATTAAAACATGATAAATAAGTTTTTGTTCAAGTTTTTAATTCTATATATTTTTATGTTTTTTTGAGATATTTAACCAAACAGTTCATACAAATTTTCTTTTTAAAAAAAATAGTCATATAATAGAAAATCATAAAAATGGTTATATAGAAAACAAATTACAAAAACATCCTCTAATATACCAAAAAGTCCCTATGAAAATTGTATTTTACAGATGGTCTTTTTGTTTTACAAATTTACAGAAATGGTCCTTCTCTATTAGTAAATTTATAGAAATGGTTCCTATGTTTCATAAAACTACAGAAATGGTTCCTACCTATTATCAAATTTACAGTATTGGTCCCTATGTTTCACAAAATTATAAAAACATGCCCTGCTTTTTGCAAAAATACAGAAATAATCCTTAACCTTAAGCAAATATACAGAAATTGTCCCGACATTTCATAAAGTTATAGAAATCGTTACTTTCTAATAGTCTATATGTAAGATAACATTTGAAAATATGCTGAAAATATAAGATTGAATAAATTACTGAAATCATCCTTATGGTTTGGTCAAAAGTGCACGTTTGGTCCCTTTTTTTTTTTTTTTTTTTTTTTGCATTCGGATCGTCCATCTGGTTTGATTTTGTTGTGTTTTTCGTCCCCACGGTTTGGTCAAAATTGCATGTTTGATCCCTAATTTTATATATGTAACAGACGAAAAACACAATAAAATCAAACCATAGGGATGATCTGAGTGCAAAAAAAAATATATATTATGGACCAAACTTGCAATTTTAACCAAACCATAAGGATGATTCTAATAACTCACTCTATAAGATTAATACCCTCATGGTAACATGTATGTCATCCCATTGGTTTAAACTATGAGGGACAACAATATAATTTTTGTATTTTAATAATATTTACATATGAACAGATAGTAATGAATAATTTAAGGGGTGAAATGACTGTAGAAGAAACACAGGATGAACCGTTGGATGAGACGATGAGAGGAATGGAGGACCCTGATTGGGACATGTGGGAGGAATGGATGGGTTGGGAAGGAGCGGGTATACGTGATTACTCCTCACACATTAATCCTTACATCTAATTTTTTTTAATTCATCTCCCTAAACTTATTTCTTTTCACATTCTTTCTTCTTGTGTAAGGGAAACTAAATATGCATGTATATATTTAGAAAAGAATTGTAAATTTTAATATATTCGTTATGATAATATATACATGTATAATTATAATTCCTAGATCCATTGTTGGTTTTGTGTACAAAAAATGGTGTATGGGTCGTACCATTGGAGCCTCGTTTGTATCATGTGATACATGTATAATTATAATTCCTAGATACATTAATATATTAAAATCTAATGTGATACATGAATTCTCATGTGTGTTTTTGGCATTGTATCATGTGATGACCAAAATACATGTTTTGATATTGAATTAAAATACTTTGATAGGTTATATTTATTATTATATTTATTGTAACAATTTTAACTTATTTATGAAGTTTAGAGGTTGAGGTTTTTTATATAAGAATTAAAATACTTTGATAGGTTACATTTATTGTAACAATTTTAACTTATTTATGAAGTTTAAAGACAGATTGAGGTTTGTATTTTATATTGTCCTAGGACATAAGTTGTTTGTTTAAGGGTAATAGGGTATATCTTGAAGATGTAACAATCAATTCAAGAAACAATATTAAATCTAATGAGATCCACCATGCTCTCATTGTGAAGAAAACAATATAAGAAATGTGTATTATGTCTTATAGGCTTTCAAATATGTTCTTTTTGACATATTTATATGTAGTCAAAAGACACTTAATAACTACCAACCGGTTTCAATTATCCGATAAACTATCAAAAGTTGTTAAGCATCAATTAATATATTAATTGATTAATTAACAAAAATTAGTTTTGGATTTAATTTAAAATATATATTAACTAGTCAAAAAAAAAAAAAAAAAAAAAAAAAAAAAAATCCCTAAGGCCCAATACATATATCTTTGACCATTAATATATTAAATCAAAACCTAATTTAGCTAGTCCAAATGTAATTCGACTTGCCCAACACTACGATCCAAGTTTAGTTTAACTCATTACTTTATCCATTTGATAATTAAATGGGTAAAGTCATATAAGGCTAGGAAAGGTTCATTTTCTTCCTATTTACACAAATTTATGCACCACTAATGTTATTGATTTTTGGGTGTGTTGGACTTACGTTAATGGACATTGACAATATACAAAATTCTTTGGTTGACATGTTATTTTTCTTACACAGTATTGTAGTTTTAGGCTCTCTCACTTCATGTCCACAAAGTTTGTAACATCCCGTTGATGAGACAATTTCAATTTTAACTCTATTTATGAAGGAATATTGCATTTGAGCCCCTGTGCATGATAAAGATTGCAAAATGGCCCATAGTGACATTTTGGTAATTTTGGTCGAAGCTTAGTACGATGGGCGTACGCTTCATACGCAAGGCGTACATGTGAGAGCGTAGTACATTGGGCGTACATCGCATACGTAGGACATACGTGCGAGGGTTTCAAACCCTAAAATTTAGGGTTTGGACCCTATTGAAACATCTTTATGGTTCTAAGACCTTCACCCTCATCAGCCTCCACCTAAAAATCGTCCCTCTAACTAACCCTAAGTGTGAAGAGTGCACCTTGAGCTCATTTGTGTGTTTTTGTGATGTTCTTGAAGAAGAAGAAAGTGGTAAAAGGATATTGGAGCTTGGAAGAAGTTTGGATTTAGGATTCTCACCTTGCTAGCAACCTTTAGGAGGTAAAAAGCTCCTAGCTTGATTATCCTTTCTTATAGATCTAGATATTCCTTCATTTAGGGCATTTTTGATCTCAACCTTTGTGATTCTTGAGCATGGCATGCTCTTGATCTACTAAGTCATCCTTTCAGACCCAATGAGGGGTCTTGAGTCATAAAAATGAGATCTCGATGCTTAGTTCTTCCCCATGCATGCTCTAGAAGGTCTCTAGGTGTTAAGATGTTAGGATTGTTTGTATTAAGCACTTAATGGGCATGCAAAGTCATAAAGTTTGAAACTTTATAACTCCCAGTGATATTTTGTCCTTGGATTTGCATTTGGACGTAAAAAGTCGAAATATTAAGTTGTTCAGTGGTTAAGATGGAAAAGTGTTACGTACGATAGGCATACCAAATGGTACGCTGCACTTACACAGGTTGAGCCTCGATGCCTCGGACCACAAGTACGCCCCGCGTACAAGGCCTTAGTTGACTCGGTAGAGTTGTTGATTTTGTCCAGTTTTGACCAAAGGTATTTTGGGAAAATTGTTATCAATTTAGAATAGGAAAATCTTTTTATATTTAGGAGTCAGATAGAGCCAGTTGTCGGAGTAGGGACTTATTTAGACTACATTCAGACTGAGAAGTGAGTTTTCCTCATTGTACCCATAGGTTGAAGGCACCAATGTCGGCCCACTAGATTTATTTATCTTGGTTAGGATAGTGTTATGCTAGTTTGTAGTTGTTTATAAACCCGTATGATTATCTGTATTTGTTGGCTATGTGTTTATGTTTATTTGTTTCATATGTAGACATATTGTGTTGGGTTGAGGCAGTTATGTTTTGTGCTAGTAATAATCGCATCTTATGCAAATAATGGATTATACTTCAACATAAAGATGAAACAAGCAAGTATTTATATGATAAATAAATTTTGACTTGTATTCCCCCCCCCCCCCCCCCACCTAAAACATGAAAAACTCGAAAATATGGGGGTATGAACTCACCTTAAGTGGATTTGTGGGTTGTTTGAGAAGATGGTGTGAAGATTTCCAAGCCTAAACACTTGAATAGGTTAACGAACTCTTTGAAGATGATATTACCCTAAGAGTTTTAACACATAATTATATTTGTGTAAATATAATGAAACTAACATAAAAGTGTATAAATACACTAGATTTTGAAGGAATACTTACCAAAATCTAAGAACACACTTGAAGAATTTTGAACTTGGAAGATTTTGGCTTTCTTTTTTAGAGAGTTTGGAGTTAACTGGAAGTTGTAAAGGGAAATGGTGGATGATTTAGGGGTGATATCGTTCATTATAATAAGGATAAGTGATATAACTTTTGCATAGTTACCTGTTGGATAATATATATTTATTTATTGGAGGTTTGCTTGGGATACTGCCAAATTTTGCATGGGAAATGGGTGAATACATCAAGTCCTAAAGTCAAACTCCTATTTTCTCTTTATTACCACCGATATCACTTTAGGAATGAATCAATGTGGTGATTTCGGCCAAGGTATGATCGAAATTACCTTGCACCCTTTGTGATTTCGGTCCTAACTCCCCCACAAATGTGTTTTCGGTCTTAGTGGTTTGGATCTTAGGGGTTTTTCAGCCTAGGGGTGTTGTAGGTTGGTGATTTCGGCCTCCTCACAACCGATATCTCAAGGTGGGTGGGTACTAGGCCAAAAACTATAAAGCAATGTTTTTAAATTCATGATTTACGTTCCAGCTATCTAGCTTTGCTTGACCTCTTAGTGTTTACTACAAACATGATTTTCAAAGTATGCATATATATATATATATATATATATATATATATATATATATATATATATATATATATATACTTATACAAATAATGCCCCTTTGGCCTTCAAAATTTTATTGCTATAGAATGCGTTGTGAATTCACTTATACAATGTTATAATTTAACTCTTGCTTGTTACAAAATTTTCCATTTGTCACATCATCCCCCCGTTAGTGGGAATTTCGTCCCAAAATTAGCATCTTGGATGGCTCCTTGCAACTATAGGAAAAGTTGTAGGTACTTTTGTTTCATCTAGTCTTCTTGCAACTATAGGAAAAGTTGTAGGTACTTTTGCTTGGGATACTACCAAATTTTGCATGGGAAATGGGTGAATACATCAAGTCCTAAAGTCAAACTCCTCTTTTCTCTTTATTACCACCGATATCACTTTAGGAATGAATCAATGTGGTGATTTCGGCCAAGGTATGATCGAAATTACCTTGCACCCTTTGTGATTTCGGTCCTAACTCCCCCACAAAGGTGTTTTCGGTCTTAGTGGTTTGGATCTTAGGGGTTTTCAGCCTAGGGGTGTTGTAGGTTGGTGATTTCGGCCTCCTCACAACCGATATCTCAAGGTAGGTGGGTACTAGGCCAAAAACTATAAAGCAATGTTTTTAAATTCATGATTTACGTTCCAGCTATCTAGCTTTGCTTGACCTCTTAGTGTTTACTACAAACATGATTTTCAAAGTATGCATATATATATATATATATATATATATATATATATATATATATATATATATATATATATATATATACTTATACAAATAATGCCCCTTTGGCCTTCAAAATTTTATTGCTATAGAATGCGTTGTGAATTCACTTATACAATGTTATAATTTAACTCTTGCTTGTTCCAAAATTTTCCATTTGTCACATCATCCCCCCGTTAGTGGGAATTTCGTCCCAAAATTAGCATCTTAGATGGCTCCTTGCAACTATAGGAAAAGTTGTAGGTACTTTTGTTTCATCTAGTCTTCTCGCACCCAAGTGAATTTAGGCCCTAGCTTGGCGTTCCAGCGGACCTTCACTATTGGTATACGAATTTGTTTCATTCTCTTGATCTCCATGTCATTTATTTCCATAGGTTCCTCTACGAAGTGTACGTTCTCATTTTTCTCGATCTCGTCAAGTGGGAGTACAAGTGTTTCATCGGACAGACACTTCTTTAGGTTGGACACGTGGAAGACGGAATGTACATTGTTGAGTTCTTGTGGTATACGTAACTTGTAAGCCATCAGGCCGATTCTAGCAAGGATTTTGAATGGCCCGATGTACCTTGGATTTAGATTCCCACGTCTTCCAAAACATATCATTCCCTTTCAGGGAGATACCTTCATTAGTACGTGGTCACCAACCTGGAACTCTAAGGGTTTTCGTCACTTATCTGCATAACTTTTTTGGGGATCTCGGGATGGCTTTAATCGTTTGCGGATCTGAATGAACTTCTCCATAGTTTCCCTTATGATCTCCGGGCCAATGAGAGTGCTATTAGATACTTTCCCCCTTGCTAGTTGTGTGTCGCTCACCTCAGCCCAGCATATAGGCGATCTGCACTTACGTCCGTAGAGGGCTTCGAATAGCACAACCTTGATGCTAGTGTGATAGCTGTTATTGTATGAGAATTCGGCGAAGGGTAGGTGGGTATCCCAGTCCTTACTAAAGTCTATCACACATGATCTCAGCATGTCTTCCATCATCTGAATAGTCCTTTCACTTTGACCGTTTGTTTGAGGGTGGTAAGTTGCACTCATGTCGAGTTTGGTTCCCAAGGAATTTTCTAGTGACTGCCAGAACCGTAAGATGAACCAACTATCTTTGTTGAAGATGATAGATATTGGCACCCC